CATATGCAGAAAGGTCTGAGCAGCGCCGCAGAGGTCCAATCAGCGGTACCTCCCCGGAGCTACTGACTAAACAACAGACAGGAAATACATTATATACTTTTGGGCAGAGTTTGTGAGCAAATAAGAGCGTGTCAAATCCTACAGAGATATACAGAGACCAATGAAATAATTACAAGTTAGGCCATATGAAATGAGAACAAGATTGCAGACGTACACAAAGCATCGTTAAGAATCATGAGAACAGAGTACACACTGAGCAGTTATCAAAGAGACACAGAACAGAAACATGTCAAGGTAATATGCAGTCATTCAGAGATATATAATACTGCCACCACACCCATCATCAGATGGTTCTTGTGTGATACCTGGGACTGAACCAGCTGATATTAATTTGCACTGACAAGGGGCAGGCTTGCTTTCTAATTACTGAGAGAGTTCAGCTGGTGTCTTGGCTTTACATGCCTTTTTACACCTCCCTTTCTTCATGTGTTCAATACGTTTTCCCTGTGCCATTCCACATTATTACAAATAACTTCATTTCTGGACATATATGGTTTGATTTCTTTGTATGTATGCATCACTTGGGTTGTTACCGACATCTGGTGAAAATTTCACGTCATTAGCACCTCTAATAATATATTTACTGAGAAAAATGTTGACGTGTTCAATACTTATTTTACCCGCTGTATTGTCATGGTTAGCTAAGATTTACTACTCAAAGGATACTACCATGGTTAAGAACTACCTGCCTATTCTCAGATTTTCTCATAGCTAACATCCTCACAAAGTTGTCCACCCCTTGTCATAGAGCCCTGCTAAAACAGTATCTGGATGGTACCAAAAAAGTGCTGAACTGGAACCATCCTGCAGCTTAATTTAATTCTCTTGCACAACCCGTTTATTCAAACAATGCAGTTTTTCTACCTCTCAGTTGGAACAACATCTACTGGGCTCAAGCGACCACCACTCATCATCTGAGCTCTGCTACCAAGTCTTAGAACTATAAGGCCAAGTGACTAGCAGAGTTCAGACTCAGATATCCTCAAAGAACCCTCTGCTACCACTCCTGAACCAGGTCAGAATCTCAAAAGATTATATACTCTGTTTCTCATTGAGCTCTCCCTTGGCAGGGGAATGGCCATGACAGTGATGGAACAGAGACACCTGTAGCCAACATCCTGGTCAGGGACAAAGCTGTCTATCTGAATGATCCAGAGTCGACTACTCTGATGACTGCAAAGTCTGGGTTGAAGAAAAAGCTGACCATGAACTTTTATCCCGAGACAAGATGTGAGACCCAAAGCATTCATAAACCATCAATTCCACCACCTCCCCCAAGGAGAGCAGGATAGCTTAGCTCCAAGCCAGCACAACTATAACATCATGACCAGACTTCCCCCTCTTAACCTGGAGCAAAGGCCTTTGTTGGTTTCAGATTCACATTGTTTAGTTTAAGGAAAGTTTTTCTTATTGAACAGACGTTGATAATTTTTCTAACATATTTAACATTTTCCCATGATGGCAAAATGTCTATGAAGAGAAACAATAAGTGCTATTCCTGGAGATACAGCCATTAATGCTCATCACTCAAGTTCAGTCCAATTTTCCTTCAGGCCACCACATAAATGAAGGAATAAAGTAACACTGCACACAAAACAAGGTGCAGGCATTAGATACTGGTTCTTTTAAACATGTGAGGGCATCTATTGTTACAAAATGTAGGTTAGTGGGAAAGCTTTTCAAAATGAAACTATATTTCTACACATCACATGGATAAACAGAATAAACTTGGTTATTCAATCACTTAAGTCATTGCTTCTTATAAAAAGTACAACATGTAAAACTGGATTTTCTTTACTATCTGTTAGTTTTTAACAGATGTAATAAAAAGCCCTTCTATCTAGATTTGCCCTTATACCATTACACACCTTGAATTACAAAAGGTGTCCAGTTCAAAGAATGGATAAATATATTATATATTTATTAATCTGGCTCGTTAAATAAAAATGGGTAATGCTTTATAATTTGTGGTTTTGATTAAGCTTAAATAAATTATTTTGTCTTTATTAAGTGGTTAAGAAAAGCAAAGTATGTTTATTTCACTAAATTAACATCTCAGTCACTCCTTTGAGCACACAATTTTAAACTTAAGATCTAAATCAGAAAAAAATTAATGACTCAAATAAATATAACTGATTTAATGTTATAAGAATTGTGAAGGATTCTAATAATATTTTAAGACTGACTAGGGTAGTAATTAACACTCAAGTTATAATAAAACAAATCTAAAACAATAAAATACCTAAGGAATCACAAATTAGTATACATAAACCTCAATAATTCAATTTTTCCTCAAAAAGCTATAAATTGGTTCATATTTAAAAAAAAACAATGTGCCATGATAAAGTTTATGAAATCTTTAAAAGTTGTAAAATGCGCATTCCACGAGGTTTAATTTCAGGACTTTGCTCCTCTGCTTGGATATTGATGATTTACCTGAAAGTTGTAAAGATGTTCAAATGTATGCAGATGATACGGTGACATATAACTGCCAAGACTCCACAACAGGCTGCCCATACAATATAAATGAAGAATACATCTTTCTTTTCTGAAGCTGACTTTTAAATGTGTAAGTGGCCTTGAAAACCCAGCAGCACAGAAGCTCTAACAATGGCAGCAAGTTAATGGTGACTATAAACCATCGAGAAACAAATCTTTTGAACAATATTCGTTTTGTGTACATGTCTTAAGATTTAGGATAGTTTGGCCTCAACAATAAAACTATGACACCCAGATGTGTTTGAAAGCTGCAACACCATAAAGTAACACCAATAAAGAGCTTTTTTTGCAGGAAAAACATGCAGAACTTTTGGTTTTAAATGCATTGATATGAACAAAGAAATACCACTACTCCATAGTTGCACATTTTAAAAAGCAAGAACTTTACATGATGTGGTTTACATTAATGATTGATTTGACCTTCTTCTAGAAGGCGACCTATGATGGTCAAAGGTTTTCTATTGCAAGTGACCAACGTAGGCGCAACTCCTACATAGGGGTGTAAAAAAATATCAATACACTGAAATATCGCAATATTTCATTTCCCGATACTGTATCGATATTCTAAAGCCCTGTATCGATTTTTTATTAAGGTTTAAAATGTCAACTTTCCTGCCAGCCATTCATTTTTATGTTGTAGTTCAGCCTCTAACCACTAGCTTGCAGCAGTGAGCCAGTCATTTGGCTCCACTACCTCTTGAGCGCCAGAGAGTAAGGGTAGCATTAGCATTGTAAGTAAACATTAGCTTCATGCTCCGATAGCTGAATCTGAGCGGAAAAGACCGACACCCACTGCCTTCTAAGCTGAGGTAAGGTTACAAACAGTTACTTATTTGTCAGAATGTCTGTATTTTAAGACAAATTAAGTGTCTTGTTCGCTCTTTTGTCCAACTGTAGTCAGCTTTCACGTTACGCATATAGCGCATGTGTCTATCACCTCGAGCGAGCTCGGCACTCCCCCCGTGACATAAAACTCTGTCTGTTGCTCTCAATGTCCGGCTGATGATCGCATCAAAGTCCATGTACTTTATTCTGCTGTGTTCGCTTCAAAAACGTTTAACTCGTTTAGCTTCTCAATTTCTTCACTGGTTTTCTTCGGGACTTGCCCTGCTGTTCGACCATATTGTTAATTAATAGTAAAAACTAAAAGCTGCAAAAAATATATTTTCAAACTATTTATTGGCAAATTTAGTCTAATAATTGAAAACATGGATGAAATATGAAACAAACAAAATAAAACACATACAAAGCAGAACACAGCTAAATGTATCAAAAGTATGTCTATGTAATATTAGAATTTTCTGAGACAGTGAATTTTGTTTTTTCGTTTTTTTTTCCCAGTAAGAGGTTTTTATTTCATAGAATTTTTGGACCAAAAATATCGCAATATATCGCCTTGTTTACAGTATCGAAATGTATCGTATCGTGACCCCTCTGTCATGATATATATCGTATCGCCAAATTCTTGCCAATACACAGCCCTACTCCTACACTGGTTTTACAGCACATGGTGCGTTCTCCCATCCAAGTACTAACCAGGCCTGACCCTGCTTATCTTCTGAGATCAGATGAGATCTGGTGTGTTCAGAGTGGTTTAGCCACTTACATTAATTAATAATGAATATAAAACCCGGCAAAAGCAGCTTACACACTTAATCGCGCAGATTTGAGAATATCTGAGTATTTCTTAAAACTTTTAGGGTACACTGTTGAGCATTTCTGACCTAGGAAGGAGCGCCTCTTGGTGTTGAGTTCAGCAGCCATGCGGACGTTGGTGCACAGGTTCAGCATGACGAGCATTGTGCCGATCATGATGATGCTCTGCCACAGCAGCAGGGTCTCAAAGTAATGACCAAATCTGAGAAGAAAATAAAGAAAACGAAAAGGTGTTATGAGGAAAACAGACAAGTTACTGCAAGAAGGAAGCTCAACCTCTGTCAGTTCTTGTACAAATCAGGACATGGAAATAAAACGATCTTAAACTTTTCAGAACATGTCAGACACCTGAAGAGGATCCTCAGGATGTTGGCCACCAGCAGGACCAGGCACACGTAGGTGGAGAAGCCCTCAGCGTTCTGGGTCCGTCTGATGTCCCTGTACTGGGGGATGTAGGGGACCACCCCTCCGAACACCATGGCCCCGGCAGCCACCCACGACACCAGCGTGCCGAACACGGACACGACCTGCTCAAAAACCTCCTCTTCCATGTTCGGATGCTGCTGTAAAACAACCCCGGCTGGCTGTCAGTGGATTCGGGGGCGTTGGTAGAAGATGTTGACCCTCCTCTGGTTCCTGATGATGCCTTTGAGACTGTGGGAAGTAAGTGCATCCGTGTTTAATCACACGAAGCTGCTACTGCCACGCCATCCAAATGACAAACTGAGAAACCTTACTGATAAGCCAAAAATAAACATGGAAATTACAGTTTTTAAAAATAATAATAATAATATTACCAATAAAAGTGTTGGTGTTTCAACTTCAAAGCAGATTTGCGCTGATTAGTGTCGAGCTATCCTTGTTTGGCCCGAGGTTGAATCCTCACAACAAATCCACGATGTTCTCAAATATGTATCAAAGATTCCTGCAGCTCACCAGGAAACTTAACATAAAGACGCATTTTTTTTAATTTATCTGTCAATATTAGGAGAGTTTCGTCTCAGACCAGCTCGTTCGGTCAGCTCCTATCTTGTGATAGTTTTTTTTCCCGCACTTCCTCAAACGTCACAAACTCAAACAAAGATGTTATATTCAAGTCTAGATGACTCACTCAGGAACTAGAAACCAGAAACATTTAATGTAGAAAATCATTCAGGCGTTTGACTGAGGAGAGAATTAGATTCTTATAGGGAAAATGAGAGTATACATTAATGAACAATATAAAAAAATACTTTAAAACTCTGAAACACATGGAGCCCTTTCGGTGACATTGAAAAAAATAAATAAATAAATAAAAATCCCGTGGCTATGGGATAAATAACACGTGGCCATGCTATATTCAGGCCAATCCAATGTGGATGGGCAACATGGAAGACTCCTTATGTTGCGACA